ACTTGTGCAGTGTAGCCTCAGCTCCTCCTTGAAAGAGAGAGAAACCGAATGCTTTTCATGGAATCAGATTACGTCTTGAGAAAGGAGACAAGGTTCCCCAAGTCTTTGCAGCCTTTTATAATACAAAGCCAAGGCTCCAATCTGTGCACCTTCCACTAGGAAGAGAAAACGGTTCTAGGTGAAAGGAGGCAGCTTCTGTCTTCAGTGCATAGTTTTCCACTACTCTGTCACAGTTAACTGCTGGACATTTCTGGTAAGCCTGGAGCTGTCCATTGTGAATAGGGTAGATGCTTTGAGATTAGAATTCGAAGCAGAACTCTCTTCATAATTAAAGAATGACCAATTTTTCATTCATAGACATCTTTAGAATGCAGACTGCTAGATTGCTTAAATTTTTTCAGGTTTACAGTTTTATACAAAAATAAACCAAGGCAGTGACTACAAAATTGTGTCTTTGAGGTTTTTCTAAAATTTATATAGTGGTTTTTTTTAACTTTTATTTAATGAATATAAATTTCCAAAGTACGACTTATGGATTACAATGGCTTCCCCCCCATACCGTCCCTCCCACCCACAACCCTCCCCTTTCCCACTCCCTCTCCCCTTCCATTCACATCAAGATTCATTTTCGATTATCTTAATATACAGAAGATCAGCTTAGTATACATTATATATGGATTTCAACAGTTTGCTCCCACACAGAAACAAAAAGTGAAAAATAATAGATGATTTTTTTTTAAATGATGATGAAATCAGAGCAGACCTATTGTCATGTTTAATCCCAGTGAGAGTTAAGTGGGGATGATAATTTCTCTTTTTTTTTTTTTTTTTTTTACAGAGGATCAGTTTAGTATGCATTAAGTAAGGATTTCAACAGTTTGCACCCCCATAGAAACACAAAGTGAAATATATTGTTTGAGTACTCGTTATAGCATTAAATCTCAATGTACAGCACATTAAGGATAGAGATCCTACATGAGGAGTAAGTGCACAGTGACTCCTGTTGTTGACTTTACCAATTGACACTCCTGTCTATGGCATCAGTAATCTCCCTATGCTCCAGTCATGAGTTTCCAAGGCTATGGAAGCCCTCTGAGTTCTCCGACTCTTATCTTGTTTAGACAAGGTCATAGTCAAAGTGGAGGTTCTCTCCTCCCTTCAGAGAAAGGTACCTCCTTCTTTGATGACCTGTTCTTTCCGCTGGGATCTCACTCACAGAGATCTTTTGCCAGAGTGTCTTGGCTTTCCATGCCTGAAATACTCTCATGGGCTTTTCAGCCAGATCTGAATGCCTTTAGGGCTGATTCTGAGGCCAGAGTGCTATTTAGGACATCTTCCATTCTATGAGTCTGCTGAGTATCTCACTTAAAATTTATATAGTGTTTTAAGAATGTAATGCCTGTTGAAAAAAAGTAGTCAGCGAATAATTCCTGATTAAATTTAGGAACAGATAAACAAAGCTTTGTTCTTTATTAAATAAAATTGGAGGCTACAAATTATGAGAATAAATAAAATAAATGGTAGAAGTTTGCCCCAGGGCACTGGGAAAATCCCAAAGCTAAGGGCAGTGCAAGTTCTGCCCAGAAATGCAAATCACCTACCTGAGAAAACCTGTTGGATCATGGGAGATAAACTCACCCTAACTGTGAAGATACTGCAGTTGCAAGTGCCTCTTAGGCTGTAGTCCATGTTGTATCAGTTGTCAGCTTCCAGCCATCCTGCCTGCCTGCCTGCCTGCTGCTTTTTTTCAGTGTGTTCAATAAATCTATCTGTGCTCACCACAGATCCCTTCACCACTTGCAACACCACTCTCAGTTGGTTGCTTCCCGACACATAAATTACTTTTCTATAAAGCACAGTCAAGTTTAAAAAGTCTCAAATTTCAGTTAAATTATCTTAAGTGTGTCAGAATACAAAAGTAGAGCACTTTGAAGATCTTAATTAAATTTGCTTTCTGTTCTAGTACTGTGCAATCTTCCCGTTCTTTTCCATAAAATAGAATAAAGTATAGGAGCAGCACCGTGGTCCAGCAGCTTAGGCTGTTGTCTGTGACACCGGCTTCCCTGGATGCCATACAGGAGTATCAATTTGAGTTCCAGTTACTCTGCTTCTAATCAGGTTTCTGGCGAATTTGCTTGGGAAGGCATGACATGGGCTCCTGCCAGTCGTGTGGGAGCCCACGATGGTTCCTGCCTCCAGGCTCCAGCCTGGCCCAGACCTGATGCAGCCATCTCGGGAGTGAGCCAGCCAATAGAGGATTGTGTGTGTGGGTGTGATTTTGTCTTTCAAATAAAAACATGTATCTTTAAAAAGATATAGTATTTCAGGTACCATCCTTTATGTAAGGATTAAAGCCTGGGGAACCTCATTGCCGTGCCCACTGAAACTTTGTCTGAAGGTCAGATAAACAGCTGAGTTTCAGCTTCACTGTGAGTGGCTCCATTTTGATTTTTAGTCTGGTTCACTGGGTCCCTGTGCAGGAGCCTCTTCTAAAACAATGCCCTCAAGTAATTTTTCTTCTTTAAATTTAATTTGCATATTTAGCATTAGGGAGACAGATCAAAGTTTCCATTAGGTGATCCCTGCTAATAGATTTTGGCCAGGGCCAGCGCTGGGAGCTGGAAACTCAATCCAGGTCTCCCACATCTTTGGCATGAACCCAGTTACTTAAGACATCACCACTGCCTTCCAAAATCTGTATGAACAGGAAGCTGGAATCTAACCCAGAGCTGGGAATCCACCTCAGGCATTCCAGTATGGTGTAAGGATGTCTTAACTGCTATGCTGAATGCCTGCCCCAGCAAATTGTATTTTGTTAACAGTCTATTGAAGTCAGGCACTCAGCATTGGAACTTCTGTCTTTTAAGAATTCTCTGGTTTTGTGCTGTGGAGACACACCATCAGCTTTGCCACAACAAGCGACTGATGCTGTTGAAGCCTGTTTACTGTAGGTCTTTGTGCTGCTTACTCCAACTCACAGTCCATCTGATTCACAAAGACACATGGGAGTTTGTTGAGAGTTTTCAAAAATACCTGCTTTGGGACCGGCGCTGAAGCACAGGGGGTTAAAGCCCTGGTCTGCAATGTCAGCATCCCATATGGGTTCTGGTTCGAGTCCTGGCTGCTCCACTTCCAATCCAGCTCTCTGCTGTGGCCTAGGTAAGAAGTAGAAGATGGCCAAAGTCCTTGGGCCCCTGCTCCCATGTGAGAAGACCCAGAGGAGGCTCCTAGCTCCTGGATTCAGATCAGCGCATCTCCAGCCATTGTGGCCATCTGGGGAGTAAGCCAGTGGATAGAAGACCTCTCTCTCTCTCTCTCTCTCTCTCTCTCTCTAACTCTGCCTTTCAAATAAATAAATCTTAAAAAAAAAAAGTAGCTGCTTTCTTGATAGAATTTCCTATACTTCTTAATCTACCTCTTTGGAGCACAAAGCTCCTATTTTCTCCGTAAATGTCATACTAATCTTTTCAGAATGTCATTCAGATCATTACAGTAAAATTCTGAAAAGCAATCATCAGTTTTCAAGATGGCAAGAAAAAAAAAAAAACTAGGGAAAGTAGTATCCAAAAGAGTTTTCAAAATTATTTAGTTTTTGCTGATTTCAGTTTCACTGTTCCAACTCAGTAGTGTTAAAACAAAAATATTGTTCTTTACTGTCATGAAAAATATGTAGCAGGCAGAAGTCAATAGATTCTCCTTCTTGCTCCATCACTTGCACAGAAAAATCAATAGAGTGAAAGGAAAATACATCTCAAATGGACCATAATGCTCTTGAAATCCACAAATGTAGGGTATCTATAATACAGAAAACTGAACAAGCTTACATTGTAAATTTTACAAGAAAATGAGGGATTGTTTTTCATTCTGTTAGCAAAGAGAACATTTTAGATGTACCATTGCTCAGAGGTACATGTACTGTATCACTTCACAGATTCCAGATTTATGAGCTACTTCTTCCTGTGTTTTTGGTCTAACGTCTAGTAGTGTGCTTTTAGGTGAATACTGAAGAAAATGCTTGTAAGGGAAAAAGACTGCACACTTTTTTTAAGAGTTTATTTAAAAAAAAAGATTTATTTATTTATTTGAAAGAGTTACACAGATAGAAAGAAGAGGCAGGGCGGGGGCGTCTTCCATCTGATGGTTCATGCCCCAGTTTGCTGCAATGGCCAGAGCTGCGCTAATCTGAAGCAAGGAACCAGGAGGGTCTTCCTGGTCTCTCACATGGGTGCAGGGGCCCAAGGACTTGGGCCATCTTCTACTGCTTTCCTAGGCCACAGCAGAGAGCTGGATTGGAAGAGGAGCAGCCACAGGACTCAAACCAGCACCCATATGGGATGCCAGCACTGCAGGCGGTGGCTTTACCCGGTACGCCACAGTGCCGGGCCCAGACTGCACACTTTCAATACATTCAACATGACTGCAGGGATTTGGCAGGCAAAGAGGCATGGGCTGCCCCTGTGGAAAGCGATTTGGTCATACTCAGGGGTTCCTCAGAATTGATAATTCCATGATATATCCATGCCTTAGGCTTCTAGCTGGAGAACTTGTTTTGAGGTCTAGAAAATAGAATGTCATCAGCTAAGTACAGGCAGAAATCTGAAATGACCCCTGATGGTCCATGTCCTCGTGTATCTCCCACTTCTTTAGATTGGCTGGAATCTGTGAGCATGAATGGGTGTCCTGTACTTGTGCTATTTTTGTGAATGTGTGAACATCATTAATGAGTTGCCTTTGAGTTCATCAAAAGGAGATGATCTTTAGATGAACTCTTTAAGGGGGCCTAGAGCCCCTCTTGAGTTGGATGCTCTTTCTGACGTTGATGAAATGAGCACTCTTGCTGTGAACTGTCCATTGAGAGGAACGGCTTCTAGAAGCTGAAGCCCTCACTCCTTTTTTTTTTTTTTTTTTTTTGAAAGCTTCTATTTAATAAGTATTAATTTCATAGTTACAGCTTTTGAAATATAGCAGTTCTTTCCCCCATACCCACCCTCCCACCCCACTCCCATCCCACCTCGTACTCCCTCTCCCATCCCATTCTTCATTAAGATTCATTTTTAATTACCTTTATATATGGCCGGTGCCGCGGCTCAATAGGCTAATCCTCTGCCTTGTGGCGCCGGCACACTGGGTTCTAGTCCCGGTCGGGGCGCCGGATTCTGTCCTAGTTGCCCCTCTTCCAGGCCAGCTCTCTGCTGTGGCCCGGGAGTGCAGTGGAGGATGGCCCAAGTGCTTGGGCCCTGCACCGATGGGAGACCAGGAGAAGCATCTGGCTCCTGCCTTCAGATCAGCACGGTGCACCGGCTGCGGTGGCCATTGGAGGGTGAACCAACGGCAAAAGGAAGACCTTTCTCTCTGTCTCTCTCTCTCACTGTCCACTCTGCCTGTCAAAATAAATAAATAAAAAATTTTAAAAAAGTTTTAGAAAAAAAATTACCTTTATATACAGAAGACCAACTCTATACTAAGTAAAGATTTCAATAGTTTGTACCCACACGCACCCACAATGTATAAAGCATTGTTTGAGAACAAGTTTTACCTTTAATTCTCATAGTACAACTCATTAAGGGCAGAGGTCCAACATGGGGAGCAGGTGCACAGTGACTCTGTTGTTGATTTAACAACCGACACTCTTAGTTATGACATCAGTGATCACCCGAGGATCTTGTCATGACTTGCCATGGCTATGGAAGCCTTTTGGGTTCACAAACCCATTATTTAGACAAGACCATAATCAAAGTGGAAGTTCTCACCTCCCTTCAGAGAAATGTACTTCCTTCTTTGGTGGTTCCTTCTTTCCACTGGGCTCTCACCCACAGAGATCTTTGATGTAGGCCACTTTTTGCCACAGTATCTTGGCTTTCCATGCCTGAAATGCTCTCATGGGCCTTTTAGCCAGATCTGAATGCCTTAAGGGCTGATTCTGAGGCCAGAGTACTGTTTAGGGCATTTGTCATTCTATGAGTCTGCTGTGTGGTCTGCTTCCCACGTTGGATCACTCTCTCCTTTTTAATTCTATCTATTGTTATTAGTAGACACTTGCTCTTATTTATGTGATCCCCTGACACTTATTCCTTTCTTTATGATCAGTTATGCATTTAAAATGATCACTTTAACTAGTACAATGGCATTAGTACCTGCCAACTTAATGAGATTTGGAGCCCCATGGCAAGTTTTTAGCTTTACCCTTAGGTGTTAAGTCTGTGGGAATGTGTGCTAACCTGCAAATCTCCTCCCTTTTTTATTCCCACTCTTACTTTTTACAAGGATCAATTTTCAATTGGATTTGAATACCTAAGAAAAATTCTGTGTTAAGTAGAGAGTTCAACCAATAGTATTAAGTAGAAAGAGAAAATACTAAAAAGAATAAATCAGTAAGCTGTTCCTTGACAGTCAGGACAAGGGCTGATCAAGTCATTGCTTCTCATAGTGTGTTTCGCTTCTACAGGTTTCCTCTTAGGTGCTCAGTTAGTTGTCACAGATTAGGGAAAGCATATGATATTTGTCCCTTTGGGACTGGCTTAATTCACTCAGGATGATGTTTTCCAGATTCTTCCATTTTGTTGCAAATGACCGGATGTCTTTTTTTAGCACTGTGTAGTATTCCATAGAGTACATATTCCATAATTTCTTTATCCAGTCTTCTGTTTATGGGCATTTAGGTTGATTCCAGGTCTTAGCTATGGTGAATTGAGCTGCAATAAACATTGAGGTGCAGATAGCTCTTTTGTTTGGCAGTTTAATTTCCTTTGGGTAAATTCCGAGGAGTGGGATGGCTGTGTTGTGTGGTAGGGCTGTATTCAAATTTCTGAGGTATCTCCAAACTGACTTCCATAGTGGCTTGACCAGTTTGCATTCCCACCAACAGTGTGTTAGTGTCCCTTTTTCCTCACATCCTCGCCAGCATCTGTTGTTGGTAGATTTCTGAATGTAAGCCATTCTAACTGGGGTGAGGTGAAACCTCATTGTGGTTTTGATTTGCATTTCCCTGATTGCTAATGATCCTGAACATTTTTTCATGTGTCTGTTGGCCAATTGGATTTCCTCTTTTGAAAAATGCTTGTTTAAGTCCTTAAGCCTCACTCCTACAACTACAAGGAACTAAGTTCTCCCAACATAGATGAGCTTGGAAGAAGATCCTAGGTCCAGATGAAAACTCAGCCCAGCTGAGATTTCAGCTAAATGGCAAGCTATTTTTGTATATTCACAACACTTCTGACTCCAAATGTGTCACTTTTCCACCAGAAAAACTCTCCAATTCTTATGGACACCTACCACACCCAGTGATTTAATTCAGTTATGACTCTAACTCCTACCGTTAGTGCAGCCCACAGTTAAGGGTTCCCCCAGTAAAGTTGCCCTAGCTTCAGACGCCAGAGTTCAAGCCACCCTTACTTCTGACCAACCAGCTATAAATTGTACCTCTCTAGGTACAATAATTTACTAGAATAGCTCACAGAACTCCAAAAACAGGTTACTTGTTTATTGCAAGGGAGTCAACTTGGAAATAGTCAAATAGAAATGAACACTGGGCAGGATAAGCAAAGGGACGTGGAGATTCACTGGCCTCTCTGGGAATGCCACCCTCCATGCACATCAGTGCACTCATCAACCTGGGAGCTCTCTAACCTCAATGGTCAGGATTTTCATGGAGGTTCCATCTTGTAGGCATGGTTGATTGCATCACCAGCCATTGGTGATTGAACTTGCTCTTGATCCCTCTCCCTTCTCATGGGGGTCAAGTGGTAGGGCTGTACTTCCTAACTTTCTGGTCATCTGGTTGGTTCCTTTCTAGCCAGTCCCATCCTGGAGTCATCTAAGGGTCCCAGTCACCGGCTGTAGGTTAAGATTCAGAAAGACATATCACTCCAGAGATTTCAAGGACCTTAGGAGCTCTAGTGTCAGGAACTAGGAAGACCAAAAGATATGAATGGCATCTCTGTTGCTCAGGAAGTTACAAGGGTTTGTGGAGCTCTGTGCCAGCAAGTAGGGGTAGATACCAAATACATGGTTCTCATCATGTCACAGCTGGCTGATGAGGTCCTAATCAGCTAAGCCATGCCTGAACTCCAGGAAGTGTGAGATCACAAGTGCATGTTGTTTATGCTACTACGTTGGTGGTAATTTGTTACGTTGCAATGGAAAATTAATGCAGCATCTAAGTTGAAGAGCAAGACAAGCAGGAGCTTCTTTGTCCTCCTTACAGATTGATTTTCCAGTTGTTTCCACTGTTCTTGAAAATACTGTTAAATGCCACTCTTAGCCATTGGTTTCCCTTAGAAAGGCTAGAAAGTGGAGAGTAAAAAATAAGAGAATTGTCAGATGCCAAGTTGTTTCAAGAACCTACCCACAGAATTCATTTTTATAACACCCAATGAATAGAATTGTTTCAGAGCACTTTGATTTCAGTAAAACATTAGCATTTGGAAAATATATTCATTAATTCTTGAGTTGGCAATCTTTGAATACAATAGAAATCCACATTTATTTTTAAATGGAATTGGGGGTATTAGAGAAGATTGAAATGACTCATACTCTGCTCATCTATGGTGTTTTGTAAATCAGTGTCGGAAAAAAGATCCCAGGGTCTGTTGACATAGGCTATTTTAAAAAATCTATTTCATCTCAAGAATAAATATTAATATGAACTTTTGGTGGTTTAGTATTCATGATAAGTAGATTTTCTTTAGTTTGGAAAAAAAAGATTTGATATATTTATGGTGAAACAATGTTAAAGTAAGAAGACTGACATTTAAAAATAAATACTTATCACTGCCCTTGGAGGACATTGTTGCTGAAATTTGATTGTGATGCTTCAGTTTTACAGAGTCTATTTCCAAGGAACAGAATGAGTGTGATAAGCAGGGTGAGTGTCTCCTACAGTGGTAAGGAGAATACATTATTTGAGTTTTGTAAGTTTTAAATACTTTCATGATGAGAATATAATTACATGGGAAAGACCCAAACAAAGCGAGCCTGTAGTTCTCACTGTAAAAAAAGCCACACTTAACACCAGGAAGCTCTCCAGGTGATCTTGTAGTGCCATGAGAGGATTCGCATTGGGGCCTTCACCAAATGCTAGAACTCACTGATTAAAAACAATGCCCCGCCCCCTAAAAACCAGGGATGGAGCGGAGCTAATGTTTTATGTGCCTGCACATAAAGCTTTGTGTTTAGGTCATGTCAGTGTCTGTCTTGAGGAAGTCTCAAGGTGAGTGAAGTATAAATTACTCCTTCACTAATAGTCCTGAAATACTTTTCCACATGCCAACCCGAGCCGTCTTCTATTTTCAATTTGTCCTCCCTTTAAAAATTGTAAATATTGCCATTTCCTGAGTTGACATTCAACATGAATCGGGAGAAGTTAGAACACCGGGACTATAACAAGGAATTCAAGAAAGCATGAAGTGTAAAAGTGGTAGAAAAATCAATGCCCATGAGCATTTACTTAGCGCCTAGTCTGTGCAACGCCCAATAGCGTACCCAGCACATTATCGACCTTGGAATTACCCTTCTCGCCTGGAGATCTGCAGTGCTGTGGTGCTGCAGAATTCCGTGTTGATAATGTACTTCATAACAATGATGTCAGCCACAAGTACCAATTATTAGAGAAAAAAATGTATTCTAAAATAATTCAACAATACAACATAAAATTATTATGAAGATTTAGTGAATTAAAGACCTGTAGAGTGACAAGGACAATGTCTACTATATGGTAAATATACACTATGAGGATTTATTAGCCATCTTAATAAAAATAGCAACTACACATGGACCTATGTATAGTGATAGGGTATTTTGAAAACAATTTTGAGTATAATATTTAGCTTTGATTTACTTGAGAAGCAGAGAGGAAGACATCCCCCATACTGGTTCACTCCCTGAATGCCCATAATAACCCAGGCTGTGCTAGGGCCAAAGCCAGGAGCTCAAAACTCACTCCCACTATCTGGGGGTGGGAGTAAAAGCTGAGAATCCAGCCTAGGCACTCTAATCTGAAATACAGGGGTCGTAACTGCTGGGCTAAATGCTCGCTTCCTGTTTTGAAGCTTGAACGACTGGTTATTGGGTGGGAAGTAAAGCCCTCTGCTACCCTCTTGGTGAAACTGCTGACGATCGAAGAATGATGGTTAGCAAAGATCCAGGATGACACAGCCAATGTATATACTCATACTTGCCTCAAAACATGGAAAACAAAAGAGAAGTAGTTAGCCAAAGGCTGGAGAAATAAATAAAAGAAGAATATTCTTCCAGCTGTGTGAGAAACACACACACATATAATAACAAGGATAAAACATCCTATTCTTCTATATCATTTTTATTTTTCATAATCTTAAATTATCATTCTTGCTACAGAGCCAGGTATAAAAATGCCAGACCTAATTACATATTTCAAGACTAAAGTAAACAGGATTTATAAAGTATCTGTCACAACTGTAAATTGTTGAGAAGTTTGGGAGTAGAACTTGGGTTTGAAATTTATTTTTAAATTAAAAACTTTGGAATTGAAGTGTTTACAAATCTTTGATGATTTAATGGTGGCAGTGTTCCTATCAGTTCTTTGGACAAGGTCTTTGCTCTCTATATTGCACTTCCAAATGTGGAAATTTGAACGGAACAGAGAATTTAAACTAGATCTTATTCCAAGCAAAAATGAAAAGTCGAACCATTTATGATTGGGATTTCAAATCATTTGTCCCAGTAAAGGTGGCATTCACATTGAGTTATTCACAACACTGAGTGATGTTAACATGACATCTGAGGCTGGCACTGTGGCTCAATAGGCTAAACCTCCGCCTTGCGGTGCCGGCACACCAGGTTCTAGTCCCAGTCGGAACGCCAGATTCTGTCCCAGTTGCCCCTCTTCCAGGCCAGCTCTCTGCTGTGGCCAGGGAGTGCAGTGGAGGATGGCCCAAGTGCTTGGGCCCTGCACCCCATGGGAGACTAGGATAAGTACCTGGCTCCTGCCATCAGATCAGCGTGGTGCGCCAGCCGCGGCGGCCATTGGAGGGTGAACCAACGGCAAAGGAAGACCTTTCTCTCTGTCTCTCTCTCTCACTGTCCACTCTGCCTGTCAAAAACAAAAAAACAAAAAAACAAAAAACAAAAAAAAAAAAACAAAAAACCCGACATCTGAGCCTTTCAGTGATCTTACTGGCCTAGGATATAGAGGAAGCATAAACTATTGGCCAGGCTCCAAAGTAGCTCCTTGCTTGCTTCTACAACTCATTCCCTGTTCTCGCACCTGCTATCACAGGTTCGCAGACTCTGAAGATGGTGGCTTTTGTTCATCACCATGATCCAGACTTTTTCTTGAGCACTTGCTCCCTGATGTTGGCGGGATTTGGAGATTTATAAGCAAAGAACAGTGTGACCACTGAGAGATTTACATTAGTTTTATGACATAGTACATAAATCTTTGAATGCCATGGATATGTTATTCATGTTAGAACTCTTTTTTTTTTAAAGATTTTTATTTATTTATTTGATAGTTAGAGTTACAGACAGTGAGAGAGAGAGAGAGAGAGAGACAAAGGTCTTCCTTCCGTTGCTTCACTCCCCAATTGGCCGCTACCGCTGGCACTGTGCTGATCTGAAGCCAGGGGTCAGGTGTTTCTTCTTGGTCTCCCATGGGGGTGAAGGGGCCCAAGCACTTGGGCCATCCTCCACTGCACTCCTGGGCCACAGCAGAGAGCTGGACCGGAAGAGGAGCAGCCAGGACTAGATCCAGCGCCCAATTATGGGGAGGAAGCCATTGTAATCCATAAACTGTACTTTGTAAGTTTATATTTACTAAATAAAAAAAAGGCAAAAAAAACTTACTAAATGAGATGTAAAATAACATTGATATGATATAATTGTGTTTGTTATAAAGTTGATTAGCAAGTGTTCCCTTTCTGATTAAAGAAAATGTCAGGCTCATATTTAATATTAAAATGATTTTATACTTAATATTATTTAATATTAATGAACATTATATGATTTAATACTTAACTAATGTATTTTAGGCAGTTTATATTAACTACAATGTGTATTTCTATTTAAAGTTTTGTAAATCATGAGAATTTGTTGTGTTTAAGGCTATACCATTGTGAAAGAAATGAAAAGCCATATATCAGTTCTAAAAAAATGACTGTTTTCTATAGTCACATGTGTCCATTGTTCTGTTGTTTTGCCATCCACATTTGAAAGCAAGTATTTGTAGTTTAGACTGTAGGCTTCAATTGACTATCAGCATTGCCTCCTTTATATCAATATGATTGTATTAAACTTCTTCAATTCAGATTCAAGACACTCTTAAGTGACTCACATGAACTGTTGAATATCTCTATATCCATTAATCCCTAAAACAAATTTTCCACCTCAGTCAATATGGTATTCATAGATTTCTCAAAGTATACTATGTTCATTTGCTCTTGCCTATATAAGCATGTTCAGTTTTTTAACTTAAATAGTCCTTTGGCCTCTTTACCAACTTGAGTTCTGAGTCAGGAGCCTTTTACTGGGTGTTGTGTTCTTTTCTGAAGGCCAAGGATTCCTTTGCAAGTGAAAATGAGTCCAGAGCAACACCGATAGCAAGGATGGCAAATAGTAAAGAGTTAGCAAGGAGTTGGAGGGTAGTGAGCTTGGAAATTTATGGAGGATACTGACAACTTGATTCAGAAATTTGGAAAACTGTTATATGGAAGAGGGATTCTTCAATTTTGCACTGTCTAGAGTCCACAAATAGTTCTAGAACTAATTTGAGTTTTGATGAAATAGACATCTGACTCACTTCCATGGAAATTCATAGCAGTTTGAGCATTTCCGTATTTTTCTGCAATACAGACTTCCTGAGCTTTGCTGGACTCTGCTGTAGATGGCTTCTTGCCCACACATGTATGGTTTTACGAGAAAGGAATGATTTTTTTCCTAGAAACCTTTTATTTAAGGTATACAAACCTCACGCATTTCATAAATACAACTTTAGGAACATAGTGATTCTTCCCACCCACACTCCCACCTTTCTTCTTCTTCCTTCTCCTATTCCCATTCTTAATTTTCACTAAGATCTATTTTCAATTAACTTTATTCTTATAAGATTAATTCTATACTAAGTACAGAGTTCAACAAATAGTATGAAAAAAAAAAACTGTTCCCAAACAGTTGAGACAAGGACTATTCAAAGTCATCACATCTCAAAGTGTCAATTTCACTTCTGTAGATTAACTTTTAGGTTCTCTATTAGATACCACAGGGAGAACATATGGTATTTGTCCTACTGCCTTATTTCACTTAGTATAATGTTTTCCTGTTGCATCTATTTTGTTGAAAATGACAAAGGAATAAATTTTTTTCTTTTCTAATGGTTGGGTATCTTTTGTACACATTTGCCTTTTTCTGTGTTCATGAGTGAGATATATGATGCAAATCTGGGTGGTTACCCTAAAGAGTCTGTGAAAGGAATTAAGAGATCAGGTTTTTTTTAGTGCAAATAATTCATAGAAAATTCATATGTGAGCTCTATGTATGGAGTTCATATTGTTTTGTACCCAAAATAAGTTGATCTTTTCACTACATTTCCCATGTACTTTTTGAAGTACTGTCATATGTTTAAATACCCTAAAATAAATATAAAATAGAATAACCTAAGAAATGAAAATGTTTCAGGCATATAAGGCAGAAAATTGTCATCATAAGCCAACCTGCACTATAAAAAACATATTAAAAACCATCCTTTGCTTTGCCTCCGGACTTCTCTGGGGCCAGCAGCCGCCCGACTAGGGGCCCGGGGCAGCGGGCTCTGCCGACGACCATGGGCTCCGTGTCCAACCAGCAGTTTGCAGGTGGCTGCACCAAGGCGGCGGAGAAGGCGCCCGAGGAGGCACCGGCGGACGAGCCGCAGCTGCTGCACGGGGCCGGCATCTGTAAGTGGTTCAACGTGCGCATGGGGTTCGGCTTCCTGTCCATGACCGCCCGCGCCGGGGTCGCGCTCGACCCCCTGGTGGACGTCTTTGTGCACCAGAGTAAGCTGCACATGGAGGGCTTCCGGAGCCTGAAGGAGGGTGAAGCAGTGGAATTCACCTTCAAGAAGTCCGCCAAGGGCCTGGAATCCATCCGTGTCACCGGGCCTGGTGGGGTGTTCTGTATCAGCAGCGAGAGGCGGCCAAAGGGGAAGAGCATGCAAAAACGCAGATCTAAAGGAGGCAGGGGCTACAACTGTGGAGGTCTAGACCATCATGCCAAGGAGTGCAAGCTGCCACCCCAACCCAAGAAGTGCCACTTCTGCCAGAGCATCAGCCATATGGTGGCCTCGTGCCCCCTGAAGGCCCAGCAGGCCCCCAGCGCCCAGGGAAAGCCAGCCTACTTCCGGGACGATGAAGAGGAGATCCACAGCCCTGCCATGCTCCCCGAGGCCCAGAATTGAGCCACAGGGGGTGGGGGCTGGTTTTTTGGCTATCAGGAAGTTTCAAGGAGCAGGCATCAACTGCAGAGTGGAGAAAGTGGGGACAGGGTGGGTTGGGGGGAGCTGGCATTGCCACGTATCCCAGGCTGGGGTTCACAGCATCACCCCTTTTTACCTCATGCTGGGAGGAAGGAGTGAGGCAGGGAATTCCAACCATGCTATATCCAAATGCAATTAAGGGGTTTGGGGGGGGGTATCACCCTGTAGCCTGCATGCTTTATCTGAGGCCCCATGTGCCAAATCTCTAGCTTTGCAAAGTCACCTGGATGGGGGAAGTGTTCCTTTGAAGGAAGGATATGGAATAATACTTCCCTAGCCAGGGTGAGAAGACTGGTTGTGGGTCCAGATTCCTGGACCCAACCCCCAAACCACTACGTCCTATGGGAGGGACTTGGGAGTAAGGCAGGGTTTTCCACATCTTGTTTCCTCATAACTCGATCCTGGGATAGGGTGCTGGGAACTGTCCCAAGCAGTGGGTTGTGACGATCGGCAGAAAGGGTGGCTAGGGGAACAGTCACAGACCCGCTGCTCCTGAGCTCACTCCTGACCCATTCTGGGCCAATGCGATTTATTTATTTGCTCCCTTGGATAACTGCACCTTGGGTCCCACTTTCTCCAGGATGCCAACTGCACTAACTATGTGCGAATGACGTATCTTGTGCATTTGAACTTTTTTTTAAAAATATAAATAGTCTGGGTTTGTGTTTTTGTATATTTTAATCAAAGGCCCTCATTCCTGCACTGTGTTCTCAGGTCCATGAGCAATCTCAGGGATAAGTCTGCAGCAGCTCCAGGTCTGCACAGCAGGAAGGCTTTTTGTTGTTTTTATCACCATGGAGAGCAACTATTTGGAGTGCACAGCCTATTGAACTACCTCATTTTGCCAACTGGAGCTGGCTTTTTTGCCACACTGTCTTCTTGAAACCCCCTCCACCTTGAAAATGTTTCAGGGAGATGAAGTGTTAATGGGGTTGTCCCATGAATGAGCTCCTCCCAAAAGATTGAAAATTAGTCTGGACAGGAAAATGCAGAGAAGTCAGGCCATGCCAGCTGAAAGGCCCAGAGAGGAAGCCATGGTCAAGGTTGCCTGATCCTAGGACACAGGTCTTTTGCTTCACTTAACAGAGCCATCCTTCACCAACCAGATTTAGGCGAGGCCCACTATGCACAACAGGGTGTGTGTGTTTGTGTGCACACACGCGTGTGTGAAAAATGGGAGCTGGTAAGGATGAGTTGAAGACCAATACCCCTGTACCCATCCTGTGCTGTCCAGGGGTGAACATGAAGCAAGGACTAAAAAATCCTTAACCTTCCCAAATTCTTGGCTTCCAGGGAGACCCATAAGTGAGGGCCTCAGTGGTGGTGTCCGGAGCCAGTGTCCTGCCCTGCGACTGTAGTGATGACTGTGTCATGGTAACTAAAGGAGAAGGGGGTTTCATGTACATGCTGAGAGATCACTGCAACCTACCTCACTGTGTTGAAATGGGACAAATGCAATAGAATGCATTGGGTGATGTGTGTCTGGTCCTGGGTTCCTGTCTCCCCCAAATGCTGCCCCCCCTTCAGTTATTGTATTGTCTGGGCTTTGTAGGACTTCACTGCGTCTCTGAGTTGGTGATTGCTAGGCGGCCTAGTTTGTGTAAATATAATGTGTTGGTCTTTCTCCATGTTCTTTTGGGGTTTTATTGTTTACAAAATTCTTTTTGTATTGAGAGAAAAATAGCCAAAGCATCTTTGACAGAAGGTTCTGCACCAGGCAGAAGGATCTGAAACACAGGAGGCTCTCTTCTTGAAGCGGGGATCTTAAGCTGTCTTTGGTGTTCCCCTTCCCCTATCCTATTCTGGATCTCTGTCCTTAAAATTTGACTCCTAACCTACCCTCTTCTCCATTCCCCCACCCACATGTAAACACTGAATCCTGGGTGTCTCCACACATCTAAAGGATTCATGCAAAAATCCTGAACAAAATAGGAAGCTCTGCCCCTTGTTCCCAACCTCCTGAGTCAAGACCATTTCCTGATGGGACTCATGCCAAAGACTTAAGACACTGATGCATTTGGATGGGTCAGACCTCAATTTATCCGAAAGAAGAGAAGCTATTGGGCACCTTATGTGTAGAAAAGGGGTTTGGAGATCAAGAAGGGGACTATGAATGTACGTCCAAGTCACTCAGGAACTTTTATGCAGGTGCAAGAAACTTATGTCAAAGTGGCCATAAGATTGTTTGATAGGAGACGGACGAATGTAACTCCATGTTTACTGCTAGAAACCAAAGCTTTATGTGAAATCTTGAATTTATGGGCGGGAGGGAGGGAGGGTAGGAAAGCTTGCATCTGTTCTTTGGCTGACCCCCCCCCATTCCTGAACTGCAGGAGAATAAGCCCCCTTGGGTTTGGTGACCCCACCACTGGGGAGTGTGTATTTGAAGGTTGATTTTTGCTGTACTGGGTTCCTCCTTTCCCATTTTCTAATTGCTTTGTAACACATATGCTCACTCTCCCATCCCTTCTCCTTTCCCTGGGGAAATACAATGAATAAATCAAGACTTATTGGTACTGAAAAAAACAAAACAAAAAACAAAACACCATCCTTCAGGCACAAGGAAAATGATCATCTGATGGAAATGTAGATGTTGGAATAAAATCACCATAAATAATTTTAAAATAAATAAATAAGGAATAAATGGATTTCTCTCTAGACTAAGCCAATACATTTTTGGGATCTCATAAGCAGCTTGACAGCCCTCTAGCCAATATCTGATATCCTTTATGGGAAGTTTTTCAATAGGTTCAGCTCAGTTTTCCACCAGATTCTTTTGCTTTCTCCAACTACACCATAAATATATTATTCCAAGTAAGTCATCTGTTTTCTCTTGCTTTGTAAACAGTTTCCGTAATTTTGGCAACTTAACACAATACCCGTTTCATAGCCCAGGGTTGCTGTAAGTCATAGATCTGGGCACACAAGAGTTGATTTTTTCCTTAGATCTCACAAAGCCAAAGACAAGGTGTTGGCTGCCCTGAGCTCTTCTCTGGATCTCAGGGTCCGTGTCCAGGCTCACTCCTGGTGTTGGCAGAGTTCAGTTCCTGGAGGTTGTAGGTCTGAACGTTCTCTGTTCCTGCTTTCAGCCAGGGTTTCGTGCAGCTCCTAAAAGCCAGTTGTACACTCTTTCATGATGAAAACTCTAAGCAAATTGGGTACAGAAGGAACATTCCTCAATATAATCAAAGCAATCTATGAAAAACCCATGGCCAGCATCCTATTGAATGGGGAAAAGTTGGAAGCATTTCCACTGAGATCTGGTACCAGACAGGGATGCCCACTCTCACCACTGCTATTCAACACAGTTCTGCAAGTTTTAGCCAGAGCCATCAGGCAAGAAAAAGAAATTAAAGGAATACAAATTGAGAAGGAAGACGACAAACTATTCCTCTTTGCAGACGATATGGTTCTTTATTTAGGGGACCCAAAGAACTCTACTAAGAGACTATTGGAACTCATAGAAGAGTTTGGCAAAGTAGCAGGATATAAAATCAGTGCACAAAAATCAACAGCCTTTGTATACACAGGCAATGCCACTGCTAAGAAAGAACTGCTAAGATCAATCCATTCACAATAGCTACAAAAATAATCAAATACCTTGGAATAAACTTAACCAAGGACGTTAAAGATCTCTACAATGAGAATTACAAAATCTTAAAGAAAGAAATAGAAGAGGATACCAAGAAATGGAAAAGTCTTCCATGCTCATGGATTGGAAGAATCAACATCATCAAAATGTCCATTCTCCCGAAAGCAATTTACAGATTCAATGTGATACCAATCAAGATACCAAAGACATTCTTCTCAGATCTAGAAAAAATGATGCTGAAATTCATATGGAGATGCAGGAGACCTCGAATAGCTAAAGCAATTCTGTACAACAAAAACAAAGCCGGAGGCATCACAATACCAGATTTCAGGACATACTACAGGGCAGTTGTAATCAAAACAGCATGGTACTGGTACAGAAACAGATGGCTAGACCAATGGAACAGAATAGAAACACCAGAAATCAACCCAAACATCTACAGCCAACTTATATTTGATCAAGGATCTAAAACTAATTCCTGGAGCAAGGACAGTCTATTCAATAAATGGTGCTGGGAAAACTGGATTTCCACATGCAGAAGCATGAAGCAAGACCCCTACCTTACACCTTACACAAAAATCCACTCAACGTGGATTAAAGACCTAAATCTACGACCCAACACCCTCAAATTATTAGAGAGCATTGGCAAAACCCTGCAAGATATTGGCACCGGCAAAGGCTTCCTAGAAAAGACCCTGGAGGCACAGGCAGTCAAAGCCAAAATTAACAACTGGGATTGCATCAAATTGAGAAGTTTCTGTACTGCAAAAGAAACAGTCAGGAGAGTGAAGAGGCAACCGGCAGAATGGGAAAAAATATTTGCAAACTATGCAACAGATAAAGGATTAGTAACCAGAATCTACAAAGAGATCAAGAAACTCCACAAAAACAAAACAACCCACTTAAGAGATGGGCCAAGGACCTCAATAAACATTTTTCAAAAGAGGAAATCCAAATGGCCAACAGGCACATGAAAAATGTTCAAGGTCGCTAGCAATCAGGGAAATGCAAATCAAAACCAGAATGAGGTTCCACCTCACCCCAGTTAGAATGGCTCACATTCAGAAATCTACCAACAATAGATGCTGCAGAGGATGTGGGGAAAAAGGGACACTAACCCACTGTTGGTGGGAATACAAACTGGTGAAGCCACTATGGAAGTCAGCCTGGAGATTCCGCAGAAACCTGAATATAACCCTACCATTCAACCCAGCCATCCCACTCCTTGGAATTTACCCAAAAGAAATTAAATTGGCAAACAAAAAAACGGTCTGCACCTTAACGTTTATTGCAGCTCAATTCACAATAGCTAAGACCTGGAATCAACCTAAATGCCCATCAACAGCAGACTGGATAAAGAAATTATGGGATATGTACTCTATAGAATACTATACAGCAGTCAAAAACAATGAAATCTGGTCATTTGCAAAAAAATGGAGGAATCTGGAAAACATTATGCTGAGTGAAATAAGCCAGTCCCAAAGGGACAAATATCATATGTTCTCCCTGATTGGTGACAACTAACCGAGCACCAAAAAGGAAACCTGTTAAAGTGAAATGAACACTATGAGAAATGGTGACTTGATCAGCCCTTGCCCTGACTGTTGATGAACAACTTAATACGTTATCCCTCTTAGTATGTTTTTTGTTTGTTCTACTTAATACTATTGGTTGAATTCTGTAATTAATACACAGTTATTCTTAAGTGTTGAAACTTAACTGAAAAGTGATCCCTGTTAAATATAAGAGTGGGAATAAGAGAGAGAAGAGATGTACAATTTGGGACATGCTCAAGCTGACTTGCCCCAAACGGTAGAGTTAGAAACATACCAAGGAATTCCAATTCAATCCCATCAAGGTGGCATGTACCAATGCCATCTCACTAGTCCCAGTGATCAATTTCTGTTCACA